TGAGTTGCCCAATTTGGGGTTGGTCCGGTTGCCGGTTGCCTCATTTCGAAAATCTTTTAAAACCGTTCAAAGACCGGTTTTAATCGGTTGCAACCGGTTAAACGGTCATGTGCGTTACATAGCCTTGTAACCACGTTTATTGCCTTTTATTGGGTTTTTTTTTCATCAAAAACGGTTAAGAATTGAGAAAGATATAACCAAATCCATATTTTACTTGAGTCTCTATGAGATGTAATTTGGTTTCAGTCATAGCTATGTCAAATCTTCATTAAATCTCTTGAAAATTGGTAGAATGATGGGTATTTATATGCTTTACTATTTTATATAACCCGTTTATTTTTCAGAGTAATAATGGTTGAGATACAAATGGTTTATATTGGTATAATAAATTATATGCAAAAAAACCGGTCTGGATCGGTCTGAACCGGTATCATGGACCGCAAAAGACTGGTCCTAGGTGGTTCGGTTCGGTTCTATAATATATCAGAATAGTAGATAACACTTACAACAAGAATGTGAAGAGTTGCTTTCCCATCAGAATTGTTGAATAAAATACTGTCATTTATCTCGACTGCACTATCATAGAGACCTTCAGCAACCCAAAGCCCATCCAAAGCATCATAAACAAGAATACGATTTCCTAAAGAAAGTTATATCATCAAATTTAGAACATTATATTTCATAAATAGCTTACGAGTGATGGGTGGCCAACGAACAGCTACTTCCTTCAGAACTGGCCCCAAGTTTAAGTTAACAGTGACAGGAACCTTTAGGCTAGGTTGCATCTTAGTGAAGTCAAGTTCAACAGGGTCCAAAGGTGATACATAGATTTTCACAACACCCTTGACCTTTTCTACATTAGAAGAAATATGTAGTTCTTCATCGTCAACAGGGTTGTAATATTGACCCATAGCCCGATTCCGCAAGATGCCACCTGTAGCTCTAGAAGAACCCTCAGGACGAGGAGGGCTTTCCATAGTGACATCAGGCTCATTAGCAGGAGTTGAAGGTCTCTGGGTCATGATAGCAGTAGAGGTGGGAGTGGGCATATTTAAGTTAGCAGTGGTATCAGAACTTATAGTGGAAATAACAGCAGAAATAACAGAAACAGGAGGAGCAGGAGCAGGAACAGCAGGAGCAAGAACAGGAGCAGGAACAGAAACAGCAGGAGCAGGAACAAAAACAGCAGGAGCAGAAACAGAAACAGCAGAGTCAGCAGCAAGAAGCAGCAGGGACAGCAAGAGAAGCAGCAGATAATGAAGTAGAAGTAGAGGCTTTCCGTTCAGGTGGTGCAACTGAAATGCCTTGTTTGGAAAGAAGCTTCATGGTGCTTTAAACACTTCAATATCATAATTTTAATATCTGAATCTAAAAAAAAAACTCACTGAGTCTGGTGTTTGACTCGCTTGGCTTCTTCTGCTGCCACCTCTGCATTTTTCTGTGCCCTTGTCTTGCGTGCCTTTTTGCTAAAAATTTAATTGAGAATATGTCAATGTAAATTCAAATAATTTTATACCCTTTGTTGGACCCCTTGTTCAAAATAACATCCTTCCCCCTCTTCCCTCCATGTCTGGGTTTATTGACAACCACCTCATCCTCTAGCTCAGCAAGAGCTTCTCCCTCTCCCTCTTCCCCCTCCCCCTCCACCCCCTCCTCCTCTACCTCCTCCTCTCCCTCCTCCTCTCCCTCCTCCTCTCCCTCCTCCTCTACCTCCTCCTCCTCCTCTCCCTCCTCTTC